GATATTGAAGGAAAAAACCAAAAACAAGGCAAAGGAAAAGTATGTTCAGTTTATAGGGATACTGAAACACTTCTACCATTACGAATTGAAAAGTTCAGCACTTGCTTTGAAGCTGAATGAGCTAGAAATATTTTCTGAAAATGCGAGTGTTCTGTGAAGAGTTCATATTTGTATTTGCATTGAAATGCTTCGTCTTGAGTATTTGCATGATATTTCCTAAGTGCTATGAAGGCATAAGGGAGGTGGGGGAGAAAAAGATAAGCTTTGATTTGATTAGTCTCTCTGCATGTATTCCACCCTATACTTAAATTTGGTGCTAATACAGTCTCTTTTGGTTAATGTCATTAATTCTGGCTCTTTTAATTTGAAAAGTGAACAGAAGCAAATAATGAAATTAAGAGGTTTTTTTTATAGGTCGCAGACAGGAGGTTACGCTACCTGAGCAGAGAGGTCTAAACCCAGTTAACAGCCCTTCTCTCCCCTCATCGGACATGTGTCCTCCCCACCTTGCTGGCTCCTGCCCTCTCACTGGCTTGGCACCCACCACGTGCAGCTCCTTCACTGCTGTGGCGCAGGCAGGCTGCTGCATGCCGGCTGGCCTGGGCTGTGACCGCCTTGCTGGGCACCCCATGTACCTGTACTGGTACAGAGTGCCCGGTTATTAAGAGGTGGTGATAAACAGTTTTATACAACAGTAATTTAATTTCTGTTTAAATGCTTTTTTTCTTACTTCTTTCTGTAAGTCATACTTGATTTGGGGAATCAAATACGAAGACACTTATCTGCTGTTCCTCACCCCCACTTGCCAACGTGTGCTCAAATTAAAAAACAGGTTAATGAATTTCAGAGGAGACTTTGTGATGTCTGTTAATGGAGTTGCCATAGCCATTTTAAATAAAATCTGTATAATTTGTTTTACAACTTAAACACAAGAAAAATCTTTGTGTCATACACTGTCACTAATCGCATCTTTAGTTGCTAGAAGATTTAAATGAGGGAAGGAGGAAGTGGAACCTGTAGAATTCTTGTTAGTCATTGTATCAGTCAGGATCAGCTATTATTCTCAACTTTGGATTTTAAATTTCGTTCCTGAAAACAAAAGGCCTTGTGTATTGTTGTCATGGTATGAATAATAATTTTTTTCTTTAATTACTACATAATACCCAATTAAAACTTCTTGTGCGTGTGTGTGATTGCAGACCTGTAAAAAAGGAAAAAAAGGACCAGCAGAGAAGGGGAAGAGTGGAAACGGAGGAGGGAAACCTGGTGGTCCAAATCGGATGAATGGACATCACCAACAGAATGGTGTGGAAAACATGATGCTGTTTGAGGTAGTTAAAATGGGCAAGAGTGCTATGCAGGTAAGACTTGGGATATCTCTGTGACCTGGATGAATATACAATTTAAATATAACAATATTTTCCTGTACATACGATTTAATTAAATGAAGGCTAAAGTAAATTTTTTTCTTCAATTTGTAGTTTTTAGTTCCAGATTAAGATTAAAGAAAAAGAAGTATTTTTACATTAAGGTTTGAATTTGAACGAACTGATTTTTCATTTCTAAATGTCAGGCATGAGTAATCACATATATAATGAAGAAATTCAAACTATGATTCAAAGTGAATTTTCAGTATCCTGGATGAAGAAAGGTTACTTTAGTTTACATGACTTTAAAGTTCTTTTTGTGTGGCTGTAACTAAATACAAACGTGGTTTATGCCTCTGGTTGTCATAGAACTTAACAAGAAATCTGTAGTCTGTAGATGCTCCCAAAAGCTTAGATTATCTGAAAAGAAATAATTGCTTCTCTTCTGTCACCCAAAGTGAAATCACTACACTACACACTACAACTTAAGGGCTACTCTTTAAATTTCCCCTAAGTAGACTTGGCTAATGTATATTGCAACACTCTAATTGGGTAGAATTTGGGTCGGAAAGTTTTAACCTGTTAGAAGTCTCTGCATTAGGCACTGTCTCCACTGCATTTACTAATAGGACTGAAGTCAGTCTATTAAGAAATTTAGCACTTTTTCATTTTAAATTCAGTTAAATCAGTGAAGCGTTTGCTTGACTGTGTGAATCTTCCAGTGGAGAGAGGGTTAAAGTGTAAGCCTGTCAGCCATGAAGCCTTCTTGCTGACTCACTCATGTGACTCCTCAGCAACCTCCAAGAAAGACTTTGGGATTGAAAAATCTAGAGTTTACAGCTTCTGTGATGTGCATGCAGGAAGCTGGGTCTATATGCAGTCCTCTCAAGATTTGAAGGCTCCGGCATTAGAGCTGGGAACCTTAGAGCCTGAATTCCTTGGCAGAAATTTAGTTCAGACTTTTAAAAAAGAACAGACTACTTTGATGTATTTGCACAGAGAAATTCTGATACTTCCGTCATTTGTTTTGTTCTGCCGTATTTCAAAGCGGGTAGAAAAACTATACTTTAACCGTTGCTGTGTGTGCTACGTTTTCAGCCAATTACCGGCGGTTGTGTTTTCATGACGTTTTAACTGTTTAAAATGATATACAGTCAAAATCTTCTGCTTTCCAAGAGCAAAATGGACCTTTGCCAGGCCCGATTACTCTGTTGAATTGGGGAATTGATATCTGGGTAATAGAGTGAATCTTAGTCAATATTTTTTGTCAAAATTAAGGAAGAAAAAAATTATCAGAGTATTTCTAAAGTAATTCTAAAGTAAAGTCCTCTTCAGCGCTCAGTGTAGAAAGTTTTCTCTGTGGCCCTCAGCGCTTGCTTACCTGAAAAGGTTTGGTGATAATTTTTATTCTATTTTATTTTAAATTCTGTTCCATACCTTCTTCTGAGTTAGCGTCTATTCTCTGGCAAAGACAGATGGTTCATCCACTAAGACAAAATGTTTTGAGAAACTATTGTTTTGCTAGAGGTTCTTGAAAATAAATTAATTCTGAAAACAAGGCTGCCTGACTGAAAATATTTGTCCTGTTTCTAGCATTATCTTGTTCTTGCACAGTGACCTTCTTTATAAGCCTAATTTAAGATGTTTCCTAGATTATTTCCCCCCTCCCCACAGATTAGTCACATCAGTACTAGTTTGTAGGTTCTTCTCCTGGGAAGACTACGACAGTTTCACTTTGAGTTTTTCATTCTTTTTGTCTTGCTGACGGAAGTTGTGCATCATACTATAAACAATCTTAAATTTAGGGAAGAGGGATTTAGCTGTGTATCTGTTGAGAAGTTTTTCTGCATGGCAATATGTTTTATTTGTCCTCACAGCATTATTGCCTGTGAGAGTAAGCACTGAGAAGAGCACAGGCAGGAAGCATTGGAGATGCTGCGTAGTCCAGTTGCCTTTTGGAAGTTCTGAACTATTCCATCATCTCTCTTTATTTGGAATGACTCTAGATTTTAGGGCAGGGTATCAACATATTAAAAAAACTCAAAACTGAAAGCTTGATACTAAAGTGGGTCTCTTGTGCCTGTGTTAATAAAGTAATTGTATGATGCAAGTTTTTGACTTCTGCAGTAGACAGTTTGTACTATACACATGGATGGTTTAAACATAATTGCATGTAAATTCTGTTTTTTCAAAACCATCATCACAGGTTTCCTATTAATTTGCTTCCCTTTAAGGTTCTTTAGTAAAATGCTCTTGTTGCTATTGGTTTAGTGAATACAGAGTAATTAATGTCCATGCGGTGTAGGGCAGTGCTGTTCATCCTCTTACGGCTAATGTGTGTGGAGCACAGTTCATCAAAGGGGCAACATTTTTGACAACTAGAAGGAGTTGTAGCTGTTGGAACTGAACACCTAAATAGTATCTTTAGAGAAGCGTCACTAGTTGGGGGCAGGGGAGAAAACCTGCTTCTGTAAAATACCAAGTATTTTTGCGTTCTCCCTCAAAAAAAGTTACTGTAGGACTATATAGTATTCTTGTGCTTTATGTTTAGGCGTTGGTTTCATACTTCAATATGTTTATAGAATAAAATGAGTTCTTTTCTTGAAAACTGATATTATGGCAGTAGAGGATCATTGAAACATTTTGTTCTGTATTAATTAAAAAAACAGAGTTCATGTTATTTATGGAAGGAACAAGAATCACTTACTGGAAAGCAGTTAAATAACAGTCTTCAATTTATGAAAACTAAAAAGTGCCTTTATATTTGTTTCTTTTCAGTCTGTAGTGGATGACTGGATAGAGTCATACAAACATGACAGAGATATAGCACTTCTTGATCTCATTAACTTCTTTATTCAGTGTTCAGGCTGCAAAGGTAAGATACTGAAATGTTTACTCATCCATTTAAGTAATACTATAGTATGAATCTAATTCTTTGCTTTTATACCTCATGTGCTGTAGGACTGCTCCATCCCTGCGGCTAGTTTACATTATTAGGTTCTTGTAGTTAAGCTAGTATTTCTGAAGTTGGGAGCAGGAAGTTTATAAATATACTATATTTAAAAATGTAGATTAAGCCTAACACCAGAGAGAATGCAGTATTGGTACTTAACACTTACTTCATCTTCCTCTGCTCCTGTTATTATTTCAGAAAATCATCCCTCTCTTTTAACATTGGTGGTTTAGCTTGTTCAGTCTTGGAATTCTAGTTTGGATTTATCTACTTCTTATCACTGAGTGTTTTAAGATTGTTTCATAGCCTTTGTAGCTTGATTTAAAAGGTATTATGGACAGCTTCATGGTAGCCTGTCTACAGTAAGAGTCTATTTCCATATTTTATTCTTTATTTTCTGGTTTTCTTTCCTCATTTCTACGTCCTTCATTCTTTCTCCCCTCACCTCCTTTTGAAGAGAAGAAGGTAACTTAATCTGCAGTGTCACTGTGCTTGATAGGGGAGGACTGGATGTAATTTGTTCTGCTCAAGCATTTCTCTGTCCTGATAAACTTTTAATGTGCATAAATCTCCAGAAAGCTAACAGCATTCCTCAGAGGTTATCCATGCTTTCAAGAGCAGTGACCTTTTGATTATTGTTACCAGATAAAACTACAGAATCTTTTAATGCTTTCTGAGATGATCCTTCTCATGAATTTTGCAGTATAGTTGCAGTAAACTTCAGGAGATGTATTTGTTTTTTATATCACCATTTACACTCTTAACAATTTGAGGCTAAGACAAATAGAAATTGCGTGAAATCACTGTGTGTGTTACAGTGCAGATGATGTTAAGTAGCAATAGAACTGTTCAAAATTGTCTTACACCATTTAGAATCTTGAGTCTTGAAAGGTCACTTCAGATTAGTGTAGTCTCTTGGCTGATGAAGAGGTCTGGCACAAGTATCTTTGACTTCTGAATATAAGTGAATGAGTAAATTCTAGATGTTTGTGTACACGCACACAAACACACTTTTAAAAAAATAATAGTAAAAACCATATATATATTAAAAAAAACAAGTATTGGTGCCAAGAGCTTGTTATACACGGATGCTAAAATAAAAAATATGTAACTTCTTAAATACATGTATAATCTGTAGGTTAGCTGAAATTTGATCACTTTTACGTTGTAGCAGGAGGCATGTCATCTGCCATACACCTCTTTCATATTAAAAGTGCTAATAATCTAATATCTAAATTGTAGGAGTTGTTACAGCAGAGATGTTCCGACATATGCAGAATTCTGAAATAATCCGAAAAATGACTGAAGAGTTTGATGAGGTAATTTAATAAAGTGCTGATAATGTATTGATACTAATTTCTTATTTTACCTGTCCTAATCTTACTGGATCATGTTGCTACAGGTTTCTTTCAAGGGTAGGGTCAGCTGCAAAAATGACAGGACTTTTATGAATGAAAATCTTGAACTCCCTTATTTCACTGAACTTGTAAGACGAGGAAGTAAAGCTCTGTGTGTATATAACTTGTTTTAGTAATGGTTTAAGAAAGCAATATCAACTTTCAGTTTTTGAATAGTGGGAACTCCTACTGCTGTGGGTCTGTGTGGGATGCCTCCCTGTTCCTGCTGTGTATGTAAGGCCTTTAAGTCGTCTTTAACTTTTAAAATGGTTGCTAAATTTATTTCTATGCATTCATTAATCTACAAATCGTGGGGATTTGAATTTGATTATTCTTCAATTGAAGACTAATGCTTTGCCTTTCATGGGGATTATAACTTCTTTTTCCTTTAAATTGTGACTTACTTTCTGTTCCACTGAGTGTTGGGGTAAATGAGATGCGTTGGTTTTTTGGGTGTTGGGGTTTTCTTTTGTGGGTTTATTTTTGAGTGGCATACCTTTCAACCTGTGTTCCAAAGAATGTAAAGGTAGCTTTAAAAGCTCCTCCCAACATTTGTCTAATATGGAAATAATCCCCATCCCCCCAACCCCCAATTAAAATCCAGAAAACATTGGTAACTTTAACAGAGGCGAAAATGTAGTATGTTTTTGTTTAAAAGGATTTTAGTATTCCTTAGAACCATCTCAATGCATAAACAGGTTTGATTACGATAAGGAAATAATTTGTGAAACTTATAAAGCTTCAGCTGGGACTGTTCAGGTTTTTTTTTTATCACTGTGTTATGCTTACTCCTTCTTGTAACAGAATTCTAACGAACAACTCTCAGATTTCTAATCTTTTTTCATGGATGCTTTCTTTGTTTTCAACCTGTAATGTTGTTTAGCCTCTTAAAGAAGCTGATCACAGAAGCACTAATACAAATGGTTGTCAATTTCTGCCCCCCTGTTATTTTACCATTATTTGTAGAGGTTCCCAAATCAGGAGAAGAACACACATTTATTATATTCAAGGTGTTACAGTAGGTCATTTTATGACTTCAGGAATTTTCAGTCTGATACGTAAGCATCTCCCTGTAAACTTTATTATGGTCCTGAACTGAGTGTTCCTAAGCATGTCAACTAACTGTTCATGTGATGGTTCTTTTGTTCTGGTGTAACCTGAAGCAGATTTGTAAGGGGTATGATTTTTTTTTTCTTTTTTCCTTTTTTTTAGGGAGTAGGACAGAAAAAAGAAATAAGTAGTTATTTCAGTATATCTGGTTATGTGCAGTTTTTATGGTAGGACTTGTAGACTGTTGTCTCTGCATATAACAAGCCCAAGCTGCAAATTAGATGCGTTTTTGTGGAATCACATTCTTCTGATGTATCGTTTTTACGGCATCGGAGATTTTGGCTTTAAAGTTGTACCCATCTCTTTTTAATCTTTATTTAATAAAATAACTTTTAAGATGTTTGAAAGAATTTCCTGTTTCCCTTCTGTTTTTTAATAGGATAGTGGAGATTATCCACTAACTATGGCCGGTCCCCAGTGGAAGAAGTTCAAATCCAGTTTTTGTGAGTTCATTGGAGTACTCGTCCGACAATGTCAATATAGCATCATATATGATGAATATATGATGGATACTGTCATTTCACTGCTTACGGGGCTGTCAGACTCACAAGTCAGAGCATTTCGGCACACTAGCACACTGGCAGGTCAGTGAATTATATTTATCTGTGTATTGCATCCATTTTACATTTTGTGTTGCACAGGAAAGAATTGTTCTGGTTGAACTTCTTGATATTCGACATTCAACTCGTGTTTCATTGTGTGATACAGTTTCCGTCTAATGCAGCTTGTTTTGGTACAGCTTTCTTATCTTCTCTTTATTGTTTTTTCATTACTGAAAAACACAGCGTTATTTAAAGCATTCTTTACCAGCTGTCTGGTACTTAATTTTTGTTAGCTTTAAGTCTAGTAGAAAAAGTAAATAGAAGGAAACTTTCCAGTTGATTCTACAAGTTTGTCCTTGGTCATAATAAGGGTTGTAGGTATCTTTTTAACCTCAAATGCAGTTGAGCCTGTTTATGCTCTGCATTAAGTCAAGCAGGAGTCATATTTTAGATTGGATGCAATTTTTACTACAGACTTCAATTGTGCTGTATATTGAGGCCATGGCACGATGTAACTGAAAGTATCATTTCCGTTCATTGCATTGGAAATAATTTTAAAGAATGCTTCATCAGTGATACAGTCACTAAATTTCTGTATGGTTTTAAGTAATTGTCCTTTTTATGTTATTTTTTTAAAAAATCTGTTAAATTACAAAGAAATCCCTTATGAGTTAAGTATGGAGTGTTTTAAATAAATGTCATTATACGGACAAAGGATAAGCTTCTTGGATAAAGAAGTCCTAAACCTGCATTGATTAATGAAGAAGGGTCTCAGATGACATTGTGCAGCAGTCCACTTATGTAAGGCTTATTATAGCAATTTTAGTCTGAAGAAGGTGAATTCGGACTGCACAACAAAATGTGAAACTGATCTTTCTCCACGCTGGAAATAGTTCTTGTTAGCTTCACTGGAACTGGCTTATTTACAGCTAGCTTCAGTTCTGACTATCTGATCAGTTGTTCTATTTCATCGATCATGTCTCTTGAATATACATTAGCACACTGCGCATTGGGCTGCCGCTGTGAGACTCCGACTAGCCAAGGCATGCATTATGGAGAGAGGAACAAAACCTTTTATTTCAGGAGTATATATTGATTCTGCTGTATCATCAATTTGACTGCTGTACCATATGGCTAATACAAATCTTAGTTCTTAAAAAAACCCAAGTTTTTACTACTTTTGAAATTTGAGTTGTGCCTGAATAAAAGTTGCCGAAGTTGCCCTGTTGCATGTTAATTTCTGTCACACAAAATAATTTTTCAGTAGTCTTTTTGTGTTTGTTCACATCAGTAGTCAATTCTGTTGATTTTGTGTAATTACTTGTGCATTTCATATGTGATTACAGTTTGTATTCTTGAAGATTGTGTTTTATATGGGATAGAGACAGCCAAGAAAATCCTTGTATCCATATTTACTGTTATTTGCAGTAATTTTGGCTTCTATGATTAGCTCAGACTTGTTCTTTTCATCTTGATATCCTTGGAGATCAGTTTGTGACGATATTTTGATACATCTGCATGTCTTTGTCTTACTCACCAACTTCATGCTAGTGATACACGCTTAATAATGTTCTGTGTATGCTCTGCCAATGCAAGCCCTTTCATGTCTTGTTACAAAAGTTCGTAAGAAAAGCAAGTATACTATTGACCACCTCCTGGTTTCTGGAATAGGCATATTTGTCTGCACCCTTTTTAAAAGGGTTGATTCAGAAATGAAAGCACGCAAAGAATCCTACCCAAGTGTATTTTACATTTTGGTCAGTTCTCTGGCTTCTAATTGGCTAGTGTCCTTTCTCTGCTTCTGCAAATAAAGGAATATCTAAAGAAAATGTCCCCTCATGAAAATTAAATTGAGGGGAAAAGAATGGTGTGGTATGGTGGCGTTGGTTGTCTAAGACATTTCGTTTTGAAGAAACAAACTTCTTGTATGTTTGAGGTTGAATGAGTTGGTAGTATCAGTCTACTAACTGATTCTAATAATGGAATCCTTTTAATATTTCCTGGACTTTCTTTGTGAATCTTACATTCCACCTTCATTTTTTGGGGGAAGCATATCCTGTATCTCAATTCAACGATAATCCTTACAGTATTAAAAAATTGACAGAAAGAAAAGAACAAAATGTCAGTGTTTTATCTATTGTATTGATAAGTAATGATGCAGTGCTTAGTAGAACACTGCTAATGTTTGCATATCAAGAAATTTACAGTGAATATATTTTCATAAGTACAGAAAGGGTTGACAGGAGGTGGTGTCAACATTTTTGTTTATCATTTTTCTTAGATCAGGTAACCTTTTAAATAATCCTTATTCTTTTCACTTTTTTGTAGCCATGAAGCTGATGACTGCTTTAGTGAATGTGGCATTAAATCTTAGTATTAACATGGACAATACACAACGGCAGTATGAAGCAGAACGAAATAAAATAATTGGGAAACGAGCTAATGATAGGCTGGAACTCTTACTACAGAAAAGAAAGGAGGTTAGTGCAACTGTCTGTAGCTGGTGTGCATAGGATGAGTGTTGATAAATGACAATAATCTTGTTCTGTAGTTTGTTTTGTTTTTTTAAAGGTAATTAGTCCCTCCTTTTCATTCTTTAAGTTCTTCATGTTTAATGTTTGAAAAACGTAATTACTTTGAAAGGTGCTTCTTACCGCCTGGTTTTCTGTAAAAAGAGATAAATGTAGACTCTTAAAAAATTTTCAGATAGTGCTGTCTTGGTAAAGTTAGCAAGAGAGACTGCAATCAGTAACAGATAATTTTTTTGTTGTATTTCTTGACTAGTTTCCTAAACTGAACTCAAATATGTAACAAAAATTACCATACATTGACTGATTTTGGCTTCTAGAGAAGAAACCCCATGATCTTGGGACAAAATACAGCTTTTATGATGTCAATACCGATCTCAGCAGAAAGTGTGTTTAAAGGCTTTACGGAAAACACTATCAAAATTGAAAATGCAATCTACTTCTATTTTCTTTCTTTTTGTGTAAAAGGGACTTGCTGATTCATTGCTGACAGTGCTGTCTTGTTGAAAGCCCTGATTCATTCAGGTTTAAGTTTTTATTTTTTGAGGAACTGGTGTTTAGTTTTGGTTGTGGGGTTTTTTTCCCTGTTTGTTTTGTTTTAGACATTAGAAATAACCTTCCCATGTTCAAAGGAAACATCTCACCTTTGCTCTTCAACTTTTGTGCTGTTACCTGTTAATGTTTCTACTTTCTTGACAATTCAGATAAACTAACAACTTTTGTCTTCTGTTCATCTCATAAAGATCTTGCAGTTTGAGACTGATCCCTTAAACACCCATTAAATGTAGTTGTGCTAGATGCGTGTGCATCTCTTATAAGTAATACGCAGAAAACGCAGTGATGTGAGAATCAAGACTTCTCCCGATCTCAGTTGCTCTTATGTATATTGGCTTTTAGGATTTCTTACCAGCTTTTCTAGTTTTGGTTTTGATTTTCTGTTTTTCTTGTACTAAATGATAATTAAGTAAGCTTCAAAGTAACGTTCAGTTGTTTGTTTGATTTTGGGTTTTGTTTCATTTATAACTCGGCCTTATCCAGTACTAAATTAAATTTATTCATTGATTCTTTTTGTATATCTTTTAATATTTTGAAATTTTTTTCCGTCTTCCTACTTCAGAGGCTACTGTGGGCAAGTGTTAGATTTAGGCCCAGAACATGTTAAATATTTTGCTTTGTTAGTCCTTTTCTTCTGCTGCTTAGTCTTTTTTTTTCTTCTTACTGTATTTCCGTACAATTTTTCCTTTCTTCTATAAATTCCTAAATCTTGTGACGCTATGGAAATTGTTCATTCTTGCTGTTTTTTCTAAACTTCTGTACGAGAGGTCCTTTACCTTTTGTATCCATTCCCCTGCATGTGTGCATCCCCCCCATCTGGGTAGTATCTCCGGTGGTTACTTTGTGGGGGTGTTTTTGGATGATGG